TCTTTTCACTTTCCTTATGGTGGTTTTTAGTAAAGTAGCATTCTTAATTTAATTTTTGTTGCATTATAAATCTTTTTATCTATGGTTTATACCCTCTATGTCTTGTTTAATAAATTTTTTCCTTGAGGTTTCAAGCATAGTTTTCCTATAAATAAAACTTTAAGACTTTTGACTTTCATAATTATGACTTTAATTTATCAGGAATTGGGTTTTAAATATGGTTAGTTTGAAATATTTTATTTCACCAAAAGGTTTTTTTATTTGCATGTTTTAAAAAAAGTAGTGTGTTATTAAAATGAAAAAAGTAATTTACCAAAAGTAAGTCTGCCTTTATTCATGATTACTGGTTTTCTCTTTCTCTGTTAAAAATTATACTTTTTACTTTTAAAGGAGGCAAAAAATTAGTTCTTGTCTCCCTAGGTAATTATTTAATCTCATAATTTTCTTGGCAATATTATACTAATTTTAAAAGAGTATTATACCCTTTAAGAGGGTAGAAAATTTTGAGGTGACTTTTTTTTTGGCTGCTTAATCTAGAGTTTAAGATGACCGTGATTTTTTTTTTTTTTTTGACATGCATTAAATGTGACTTTTTCTTAGCAGAAGCTAAGTCAGAAGCAACTGATTTAATAAAGTAGTTGTGGGGTATGACAAAGAAGGTACAGTTATTACCTCTCTTATGAAGTTTTTAAAAAGCAATCATTAAATAAATGGTTTCTAGCACATGCAGATGCTAATTTTAGTATGTAAAAGTTGAGGATAAAATTGAATGCAAGTATATGTTGTGATTTATTCAGATGTATGTTTGACTGGTTCTCCATATCCTTAAGAATGCTGTATTTCCAGGGGTCCTGCCAGAGCAAGAACCATGGCTTATTTTGGGGAAGGAAAAGGACCTATTCATGTCGATAATGTGAAGTGCACAGGAAACGAGAGGTCCCTGGCCGACTGTATCAAACAAGATATTGGAAGACACAATTGCCGCCACAGTGAAGATGCAGGAGTTATTTGTGATTATTTTGGCAAGAAAGCATCAGGTAACAGTAACAAAGGTAGGTCACCTCTGTGGCCCTGAACAACTCACAGAATATGAGTTGTTCCCCACTTCCTTACTATAAGCCGTACTTTGATAACAAAAATCCCATGTAACAAGAACGTATGTGCATATAGTCCCTTGTTCCTTGTGCTAGTATTCAGAGCCAGTGGCTCTTGGCAAAGTTGCTTAGGTGGGACTTACAGGGAGAGCAAAGTTCAGGGGAAGGAGTGGATTTATAGGACCTTTAATCTCTGGGATCGTCCCCTTTTTACACTCTCAGCCATTTCTGTATCATTCCTTCTTTGGATGTAATAAAGCTGCCATGATTGCTGCTATCCTTGAATGTGCCAAACTGATATTTACTTCATAGAAAGGAAAGGAATGAGAATATAGAGATGAATTGAAGAAAGGTACTTCTTTACACTTACTAATATTTTAAACAACAGGGATAATTTTAAAAATGCATTTCAAAAGGAGAGTTATCTTTTATAGTTTTTGTTCTCTGAAATTTAAAAATTTAAGGAAAATGAGAAGAAATCTTTTAGTATAGTACAGTTAATAGGTGTTTCATACTTGAAAGCTCTGGGGACATTTCATTTTTATGAAACAAATATATCTCTGAAGGAATGAGTGGGAGAATTAGCTACTTTGGAGAAATCTGTGGTTATAGTTTGTGAAAACAACCATCACCTTATCTGGATTGAAAGTTCATAGTTTTGATACATTGGTTTTTTTTAAAAGTCAGGTACATCTGTATATAAGCATTCCCTTTTTCTAACACCTTTTAGTAACTTCCAAAGACAATACAATAAGTGAATTGGGATGTTGTTAATATGATTCTTCACTATCTGAGGGGTTTTTGAGTGTAGAAAGAACAATTGTGACCCTTTATGCTTTGTTTTATGTTCTATCTATTATATCTTACACAGAAAAACAGTACATATATAATGAAGAAACTAAAAAATACACACACACACACACACACACACACACACACAAAAAAAAAAAAAAAACTTGGGGAGCCAGTTTTCCCTAAATACTGATTACTACTTAATTTATTAAATTTTCTTCAGTAATTTAAAACACAGTTACAAATTGAATATAACCGATTCTTTGGATTATGTCAAATTCCTTACGCAGGTGAAAAATATGAAAATCTGATAATCTTAAAATGTTTTACTACATTTGTATATAAAC